GTCTATCATGAACATCCCCAGCCAGAACGGCCCAACTACAACATATGCAAGCAGTCAATACCCCTGGAGCCCACAGGCCACGGCAGCTGAGCTACAATGTTGGTGATACAGGCTGGGGTGGGAGCAAAGGGAGTTGCAAAATGCCCTGCACTTGTCTGCAAAGGAACTTAAATTGACTTAATACCTTTACTTTTTTTTGTTGGCTCATTTTGTGGCACTCTGTATACCCACACAGACCGGCACACGCCAGGACCTCAGAAGGAGCTTAGCCTAGGGTGCTAGGCTGTGCCAGGATTTCATGGGGTTGGGACTGCCTGCATGAGTTCATCCCTGTTTCTTTGGGACTGCAGTGCAATTGCAAACTGTGCTTGGAAAATGTGACCCTCCTTGGGCTGTCAAATAGGAGATCTGGGCTAAAATGAGCTTCAGTGAGGACAGCCAGGCGCAGGGTTTGATTGTGCCGTGAGATTTTGCTCGCAAGTTTGCATGCCTTGAGCATGATCCTTCTGCAGTTGGCACACACAGCAGGTTCCACAGCTGCCTTATCACAACTTGGCCTGGTCTTATACCCATTATTTATCCACATTTGGCACACAGGGTCTGGGAAAGGCAGAGAAGCTGTGCTGCCACACTGCAGCGAGCCCTCCACTACTCCCAGCAGCTCCTCCTCCTATGAACCTCCAGGATGGTAGCCAGCTGCAGTGGCTGGCCCTGTTCCAGTTGGGGAGGCCCTTCTCACATGGGGAATTAAACCCAAGAGGCCACTGTGCTTTGGGAAGACTGTCAATGGGTGTGTCATTTCCCTGCAATGCAGGGCCAGCATAGTGTGTCTCCTGTGGTGTGGAGGTTTAAATTTCTTCACTGAAAGGATGGTCAAAGATTGGAACAGGCTGCCCAGGACAGTGGTGGAATCACCATCCCTGGAAGTGTTCAAAAACCATGTAGATGTGGTACTTAGAGACACGTTTTAGTGGTGTACCTGTCAATGTTAGATTAATGGTTGAACTTGACGATCTTGGAGGTCTCTTCTAACCTTAATGTTCCTATGAAATCAGGACCTGCAAAGCCCAGGCTCTTCTTGGCTGGTGGCCCCACTGTGGTGGCTCCAAGTCACCAGCTGTAGGGCGTCTGCGGCACGGTGCTGTTGGAGATGTTTGTGTTGAGTGTGTGGCTTTCTGCCACCTCACCCTTTCCAAACTATTGGGGGCATAAAAGGAAAACGTAGTTCTGAAGTAACCCTCGGCGTCAAATGAATGACTTTCAGCTCTCTCATTGATGACTTATCAGTTGGAGCAGTTTGGAAATGGAGACAATAATAAATGGGATTTCAGCATCCCAAGGTGGGAAGTAGCATTTTTCCATGTCTAGTGAAAAGCCATAGTAAAAGTTAAATGAACCAGAGGGAGCCTGAGCCATGCTGTTTGGATCCAGACACCACCATTGCCACCAGTCTTGCAACCCTGGGAGGTGATCCTTCACTGAAGGCAGAAACGTGGCTGTCAACTAGTTAGAATTATGAAAGGCTAGTAGTTCGTGGAGTGCTTGGACTTGGGATTCTGGTTAGGCTTAACTTGTCAACAAGTAGGCACATTTTGACCAGCAGGACACTTATCTTTGAAACTGAAAAGCTCTGCAGTGGTACTGGGATGGGAAGTTTGAGGAATCTGCGATGAAAGTTTGGGCAAAATGAGAGGCACGTGTCAGCATCTCCATGCTGAAGAGGGGATCTCTGCACAACTGAAAGAGATCACAAGAAACCTTAGTGCCAGGGCCTGGGAGTGGGACCAAGCCTGAGAAACAGGGGCTCATGAGGGTAGGTGGCAGTGGGGTTTGACTGCACGATGACACGGCAGCTGCCTTTCACTGCTCCTTTAAAGCCTGCTCAGATCCCTGCTGCCTCACCATGAAGATATTTCATCTTGTTTCAGTTTGTTTTGTGATATATGGCTTCTATGGAGTGATATTTCTCTGTAAGAGAGAAAGGAGTATTTCTCTAAATGTTATATATGTATAGTAAGGAAAAATAATGTGGATTTTTTTCCATTCTTAGAAAACACTGTTGTGTTGTGGAGGTAGCATGAGTGGCCTCATCTGTCTTTCTCTACTTGCAGTTCTTGTTTATCACGCTGATAAAAGATAGGCTTGGCAAATCCTTGTGAGAGAGTGACTATGGCCTGCGAGTCTTTCATTCATCCTCAGAGTGTAGCTAACTTTTCACGGATATTTAAAACAATGCATTTAATCTCTAGCACAGTTAAAAGGCTTATGTGTTCCTGGTTCAGAAATGAGACACATTGGCAACAGTTCTTATTTATTTTATTTTTCTGCCCCAGCTTGAAAACTGAGTAGTCAAAAGAAAAGTTCTCATTTTAATATTCTGTGGGACTGAGTTGTTTCTGTGAAAGCAGAGGCTGTTGTGCTTTTACTGATGCATAACTCTACTTTCCCAGGTTAGGTTGGCCTTTGGCTACAGGGATCTCATCTGCATATTTTTTTCTAAATATTAAGAAGGGATGACAGTCCCTGAGCACTGATTGGTGGATTAATAAAAGTTCTTAACCAATGAATGGGTAGAAGTTTGCCTAACAATGGGATTAGTTTGGAAGAACCATGGCTATTAGAGTTGCAAGCCTTTCTGCTTCTATTTGCTTCTCAAATGCCTCTGCTTTACCTGCCTTTATTGCTCAGGCTTTCAAAGCACTTTATGACAATCAAGATGCTTCCAAACTCCTGCATCTTTCTTTTTTTATTTTTGTTGTGGCCTGGGGGGTGGGAGGGCAACAATCAATAAAACTTAAATTGTTTGCATATAGAAAAGGGTAAAAATGTGGTGGAATAAAAAAAGGAGAAAGAAGATGGTTTGGGTTTTTGTTTGCTTGCTTTTCCCAAAGCTAAAAGTGTGATCTGAAGTTCATATTCCTTTCTTTTCTTGCCTACCTTCCCTCCAGGACTGTGTGATTTTTCTCACGTTGTCGATACTGTACCAGTTCTGAGCCTTCACTAACATCTTTTGGTTGCTGGAGAGGAACTAGCTTTTGGATCTGTGTAAATGTAAATTGATGTGAGAGGAAGGAAGATGACTGCAGGGAAAGATAACTGGAAAGGGAAAGAATGTTTTCCTAGATTAGAGGTTTGTAACTTCAGTTCAATTTGTAGTAAGTTCACTGTTCATGTGTGTGGTGTTCTTCTCCTCTACCCCTTACTATAAGATGTGGTAATAACTGAGTATATTTTTATGGACAGCTACTTGAAAACATGCCTACTTTGTTCTTTTATGTATGATTTGTAAAATAGTGGAGAATTCCATGTGCATAGTAATGTGTTGTTTCATAGGGTGCTGATTATGGAGATGCAAAGCTAGAATGCAGTGGGCATGAAGCAGTATGTGCAAAGGCAAGGCTTCGCAGCTCTTAGGTCAGAATTCAACTTATCCAGTAAAACAGTATTACACACCTCCTGAATCTGGACCTTTTTGAGGTATCCATTTGCAGTTTTTTGTCTCATCCAAAAGGGCTAAACTTTCACTTGAGCCTGGGGCAGGAGAAGTGAAAACTTCCTTTGGCTTCTGATTCTTGTCCCTGAAAAGATGGGGTGTGTGAATTGCAGCTTGAAACAATTTCTTCCATTTTTGAGGCCTTAAATGTGCAAGGCAGTGATGGAGGAGACATCTTGGTTCTGTCCTGTCTTCATACATCTTCTAAAAACAGGATGCATGATTCTTTGTGTTTGACAGGCACATCCTCACTGATTTTAATGGAGTGTAATTTGAAACTAGTTTAGTTAAACCAGGGCAGATGTCTGCAGGACTGTGTGTAATTTCATAACAGTGTAAGGTTGTGGTGCTGCTGCAAGATTATTAACCTGTGTTTAGGACAAGTCATGCAGTCCTAAACTACTGTTGTACAAATTAATTCTGCTATTTAAAATGTGTAATCAGAAGAATCAAAAAATCTGTCTCAGAGAACTCGGTAAGGTATTGTCAGGATTACTGTGCAGTATAAAGATTGTATCTGATATTTTAGGTTATTAAACATTAGCTAAAATTATGTAGCCAGGCCTGATCCCAATCAGGCTTGTACTGGCAGGTGATGAGATATTATGTAAAGCTTGTATCAATGAAGATGGACAGAGCCATGAAAACTTTCAAGGCCTTAACTAGTTTGTCTGTAGACAAGGTTTTTGTTTACTGCTTTAATACACTTATTTTATGTATGGCATCTATGTCTCTTTCATGTTTCTTTACAGTAGCTCGACAAGCAACAATAGGAGTTGAAATAGTTGCTCAAATAGAAAGTTTAGCCTAAAAATCTGAAATAGAACAAGAAAGTTGTCTTCAAATTTGTTTTCTCGATTATTCATTCTAGAGACTTTGTTTTGGAAGATATTTTAATTCAGTCTGAGAATAAACATGTTAACTATCTCACCAGGACCTTAAGCTGTACTGCAGAACTCCCTTCTCCCCCACTCCCCACTCAGTTAGGTCTTGTTGCTTATTATTAAGAAAGATATTTTTTGATGGGAAAAAAGTGAAAAGATAGTATGAAAAGTGCTCTGTGTTTTCAACCAACCTTGCTCATGATGAATGGGTTGAATGTGAAGTGTGCAGGCTGGAAAGCACATCTGCTTAAAATATGTGTTGAGTTCTCATTCTATATTTATGTTAACAGTGAGCACATTTGTGGAAATCATGTTTTCTTCACAATCTCTTTGCTAAATTAAGACACAAATCCAAGAACACTTGTGCATGAGAGTAATTTTCTATAAGTGAGTAGTGTCACTGAGTTCAATAAGAGCAATCACGCTCAGAATTAAGCACATGCATGAGATTTTGCAGAAATTTGGCAAATATGTTGCCGTCATGAATAGATTGCCCAGCTTTGCTTCTAGTGCGGCTATAAATTCTTGGCTTGGTCCTATTATGAGTAGTCCTCATTGTATGAGCCATAAACTATTCTATTGTGCTAAGCCTAACTGAGGATATTTCTCTTATTTTGTCATAGCAACAAGAGCAAGATCCCACAAATCTATACATCTCAAATTTACCTGTTTCCATGGATGAGCAGGAACTGGAGAATATGCTGAAACCCTTTGGACATGTCATTTCCACCAGAATATTAAGAGATGCTAATGGAGTCAGCAGAGGAGTCGGCTTTGCCAGGTGAAACCTTTACTCTTATTTTGATTCATGCACATTTTTTGGCTTTGGTCCTCTGCAGTTGCTGTCTATTCCATAGCTCTGAAGTCTCACAGCTATGGAAAATACAGAGCTGTGCCTTTATCAGATTGTATGACCTTTCTACCAAACTGAAGAGCGGCAATGCAGAAGAATGTTCATTTCATTGCTCTAAAAAAGTCAATTCATTGTATGTAGGTATATGTAAATATACCATATATCCATGCAGTGTCAAGCTCAGATAATAATAAATGTCCTACAGCGAAAAGCACACGCTTGGTAAGACACCAAGGAGTGTGCTTAGGAGGCCCTGGGGTGACATAGCTGTGGCCTTTCAGTACCTGAAGGGTCCTACAAGAAATCCAGAGAGGAACTAGATGATCTTTAAGGTCCCTTCCAACCCAAACCGTTCTATTCAACTGTAGAAATATTTAGCAAAGATTTTTTCAACAAGAAAAAGTAAATTTAGCAATTGGAAGAGCAAAGGGTAGGAACTATAACTGAATAAACATGTCTTTCTTGAAAGCTGCAGGGAACTGCAACTATGAGAAGAGCTTAAGAAGGAATATTTGCATATAACAAGCCCTGACGGAGTAGTCAGATATTTTAGACAGAATGGGCAACATATTATTACCATGTACTTCATTGTCAGTACAGATAGACAAGTTTCCATGTTTACTCTCAGGGAGTATTTACATAGATTCTCTTCAGCTTGAAACATACTTAAATCAAATAGTTTTCTTTTGAAAAGCCAAGGAATAGAGAGCTATATATAGAAAGGTATTGAAAAAGCAAATAATAAGAGAAATTTGCAATTCTGCTGTAAATCAGTCTTCTGCTTCAAAAGAAAAGGCAGAAAAAAATCCCAAATCATTGTTTCTACAGAATATTCATAACATTGTGCGTTGTAGAGGAGGCAAAATGACTTAGTCATCTTGCAGATTTCTTTGAAATACATCATATCTTGGTATATCATGGCACTTCTGTTAGTGTCATAACACCACTGATTGAAATGAGGTAGTGAGTGTATGATAAAAAGTTAGCTTGCAAGATAAGTGACATTGTAGTGTTACCTTTGTCCTTGATGTGAAAGATCATCATGCACAAAGAATGTTAAGATAATGTTGCCTGAATTCAAATGGAAAAAGGCAAAACATTTATGCTGAAAGATGACACATTGTTCTTACATATTCTGGCAGATAATAACATGAATTTTTCTAATGCACTAAATATAGATTAATCTAACTCATGGATCAAGTCATATTTTTTTTAATTTGACTTAGTTGGTGAAAAATGTATTTAATTATGTAGCGTATTTCAAGAACCCTTAATGAGTTGTGTAACTCACCACACAAACAACTGTGGGGCAAAACCTTCTCTTCATCAAAGTATACAGCAGATCTCTCACTGACTTGAGCATGGTCAGAGTTAATCCAGGAATTTAGAACCATACTTGAATGGTAACTCTTGTTTTTGCAGAATTATCAATACAAGACTTAATTGCATGACCACTTGACCTCCTTTTTGTAATAAAGTACTATTTGGCATCTTTCTCCTGCATGTCAATCCATATATATTAATTTGTTTAGCTTTGCTTGTACTCATGAAGGTTTCTTTCTAGTGTACCTACAGCTTGAGCACACTGTGAGTGGTTCCAAATATGGTACAGATAGGGGATAGCAGCTGGATTTCCAGTCCAGATAAGATTTTAGAAGTTCAGATCAGCAACCCAGGTGGCATTCCTAGCTATTATACCTTCTGACCTAGGGCCTTTCATCACAGTATGTCTTGTCTGCATGTGGAATGTGCCAAGCTGCCTAGCACAGCTTTTAACTGAGCCACACAAGCAGGGAAGAATAAGTTAAATTTGCACACACTAAAATGATGCAGCATCCAGCAATTTTGAAATTTGATGTTTCAAAGTTATTAATTAAGCTCTATGATGATTAAAAATCACTTTTTGAGTCTGTCCAATTATGTGAATAGTCAATCTCAAAATAAGTATATTCAAAAAGCAATCAGAAGACTTAAGGTAGGCAGCTATTGTCAGATTATTCTCCTAAATGGGTATGATTAGCAGTTTTATAGTACTGCAGGTGGATACTTAATCATTATAACCTGGATAACTTCAAATGTTCTTGGATCAAAATTATCTGAGTAATGTCTAGCCACATTGGAGTTCAGCCTCCTTTAAAGTATGAGCGTACAAAACTAGCTCTGAGTGAATGTTAAACCGTGAAAGCATTTCCTCTCTTTTACGTCCCTCAAAAGCAACTGAACAGATTTTCCCAAAACTTTCCACAGCATTTCACTGTGGCCTGAGCCAACTGTGCCTGGGTATACCCCAGGGGAGATTTTGGGGAGGTGAATTATGAACAAGGGGCCAGAGAAGGGAAGTTTGAGAATCCAACTGTGGCTCCACACAAGTCCATCCAATTGAAAGGGAATTGCTGTAACCTCTGGACACCCACCTTTGCCTCACCTCTGGCCCATGCTTTGTACTTCAAGGCCATGCTACCTGGCTTCAGGCTCTCTGTGGGAGCTGGCATTCCACGGGGCTCATGTTGCTGTTGTCATTTGGCAGTGTGTTTTTCTGCTGACACTAGCAAGCAGAAGCTGGGAATAAACACAGCCTATCCTAGAGCAGAGAGAGAAATGAGAAGTAGGAGGGGGAAGAAATACTTACTAGAAGAAGGATATTGGAAAACGAAGGCACTGTGGATAAGGAGCTTTGAGTTCACTCTGTTGTAAGATTGTATGTCGAAAGAGGGAGTGACACAGTATTGCCCTTGCACAGAATTTCATCACAGGACTTAAATTCATAGGTGTTACTCTTAAATCCCTGTTGCTGGGAGTCATCTAATAACTTCAGCATCTGATCTTTCATTTTAAAAGTGTAAGTGGATTCCTTAGAGCTTAGAACAAAACCATAGTCCTTCATCCTAAAAAAAAAAAAAAGGCAAAGGGGAAAAAAGCCACAGAAACTGGATTTGAAGACTTATTTCACGATATAATTTTAAAGCTGATCTCTTATGAGTTTGGCAGAAAGGACATTAGCAGTGTTGTTGATGATATGATTAAAAAGGAGATCAGAGGTAGTAAGTGAGAAGGTCTTTGAGGGAGACTAGAATTACTGGATAGGGAAAGGTACTGAAAGCATGGAGGGAAATATTTTTCCTCATCCTGAAGTTGTGTTGCCTGAAAAGAGGTAACTATGTGCTGGAAGACGTGGCTTTCTACAGGCCACAAATGATGAGTTCCAGATGTTAAGGTGTGAGAAGACAAAGAAATGACACAATCATAGTGAATCTGAAGCAGTGACACTGTTTTGCTAAATGAAAGGCGGAATATTTAGAGGGAGATTTCTGAGGATCAGTGATGATGCTACTTTGGAGGCAGAAAAGTGTCAGTAGCACCAGGGGATAAAGAACTTCCCAGCAGTTTAAGGATGCATTTGTGAAGAAGGAAAAGGCTTTGTTCTTCCTTATTCAAGGGTTTAATTGAAGGCAGTTGAAAAGGTGCTATAAATTTAGCTTGAACAAATCCATCATCTGGGACGCTAGTACAGGCTTAGATATTATGAGGATCATTCCTACTTTCAGTCAGAAGAATGATCTGTCACATCCTACATCTTACCCAGGAAATTGCTTTATAATTGAATATCTCAAATGAAACTGGAAATCCCAAACATGCACCAAAGACTTTGTGTGATATCTGTAAAATATTCCAGTGCCTGTGGTGATAAATTTCCTTTGATAGGCCTCCCTGGAAAAGGCTCACAGCAGCACTGCAGGGTTCTGGAGAGGTCTGTATAAGGATGCATCTCCAAGACCCTCACATTTCCATCTGGTGTTGCAACATGGACTAAATTTTAGTAGACTTAGTACATTCCTAGGAAACTGACAGGCATGGAGTTGCACTTTTGCAGACTCCAGAGAGGGACAGGTAGGTTGGGATCCCTGGTCAAATATCAGTTGGATTCTGACAGATGAGAATGGATATGAAGCTCTGAAAGTTGATGAGCAAGGAACAAGTAAAGTAAGGAGCCATCACGTAATTTGCCTGAGCAATTTTCATAATCCAAGCTTCAGATACTGTGAGTTTAATTGAAGAACTCTTGGGACATGGAAAAGGGAGCGAGGAGACATTGGGATATATCTTGGGGAGGGACTTAGCTGATACCACTGTAGCAATGAAATGAAAATTGCATTTTATAACCCCACAGTAAATGCCCTTCAAGTATTATCTAAGTGTCCTCTCTATAGAGATAGTAGTATTAATACTGCCATACATACATGTACCACACCCAGGTGAACAGCCAAATAAGCATTTTATTGGTCCTTTCAAATTATAAAGTGCAAAGAAAGAGTTAGAAGCCACTAACTTTTTTTATTTTGTTTGCTGTCTTGTAACTTAAAACGACCTTGCAAGATTCACCCCCCAAGCAACATTTTACAACGAAGTCATAAGCTTCTGAAAACAGAAATTTATGATGGAAATGCTGACAGTCAGACAGTCAAGTATTGCACTGCTGGCGGGCACCAGTATAATACTTAACCTGAGACTGTGAAGACAGTAGCATAAATCAGCCTGGGTCTAGGTGGAAATGACTGTGTGTTCATACTATTCTTTTCCAGTAACATGAGAAAATTTGTCCAACACAAACTGTCATAAAAGAATGTTATGATGCTGTTCCCAGCAAAGGACCAAAGTCAAGAGATTCTCAATCAGCTGTTGTCTCAGAGCAAAAGTACACGTCAGGGAGGTGCTTCCGTCCCTTCATGACCTAATGGGGTGGTCTGCAGTGAGGCATTTAAACACTGCTGTTGGGAGTTTAGGCTTCATCCTCATCTTTTCCTTACCTTATTCTTCTGGAATAGTTTCCAATGGGTTGCTTTTCTTTGCCTACAAATATTTTTTACTAAACTTATCTCCTGCTTGTTCATGTTTTACATGTCTTAAATTTAGTCTTGGGAAGCAATATT